TGAAATTTTCTGTTGCTCCCTGTGGCGATGAAAATGACAGAGGATTCGGCTGTTCCTAACCTCTCCGCAGCTGTGCTTGCATGAATAGGTACTGGGAAGGCAAAGTTTATTCTGGCAGATAGCTACGGTCAATTTCCAAGTGTTGTGTTGGTTTCACTTTCATAGATCTTTTGCCATTGTTTTCATGTACATCGTTAGCCTAGACCACACAACCAGAAAAATCTCCTTAACTGTAGTTATAAGAAAACATCGATTGCGTACCACTGTTCATCATCATGACTAAACAAATGTTAAAAACCTGTTCTGGCACGTCAATTCATAAATACATTTACGCTCCACAATAGTACAAAGTAAAACTACTTTAGTAAGATCTTTTGGTAACCGAGAAGAGTAGTTGATAGCTTGCATAGGAATTTTCAAACAAATAGCCTGTTCGTTTGTCGGTTTCTGAGCTGATAAGTCCGGCCGGTGCTGGTTTATTGTAAGAGAAAAACACTGTTGGCTGGCTGATAAGTCTCTGGTTGAAACCAACAAGCGAACCATCTGAAAAAGTTTATGCGTAGATGTAAACATATTGACCACAATCAAGCTGCCAAATAACAATTCCAAATTACCAATAAACAATAGTTGGTCCCAGAAAAAGCAAGTGCATCACAATGAATTCACAGCAAATTGGCATCGGTTTGTTCATATTTCCCGCCTTTTCTGCGATTGCTTGATCCAAAGTTCCAAACAAAGCAAGCGTGCTATTTATATTGGCATGAAAAAGAAAAAAGAAAAAAAAAAGGACGATGGAAGAAATCATAGGGTACACAGAGATAGTACGGAATTTTACCCCGCGGTCTCCACCGGAGCTTGTTTAGATTGGGGTTAGAAATTAATATTTGGACTCGGTAGCATTTTCATTTGTATTTGACAATTATTGTCCAATCATGGCCTAACTAGGCTCAAAAGATTCGTCTCCTAATTTACCATCAAACTATGTAATTAGTTTTTTTTATCTATATTTAATACTTCATACATATATCAAAGATTTAATGTGATGAAAAAAGAGTGAAAAAAACTTGCAATCTAAAAAAGTCCCGAGAATTCAAAGAGATTCCGAACGCGGGCCCCAGTCCAGCAGGAAAGGTGAGTGGTGCAGGTGTGATTGGGTTGCCCTCCACGTTGATTCCGCCCACCTTTCCACCTTTTCACAGCAAATTGGCACGTCAATTCATAAATGTATTGTGGAGCGTAAATGTACTTATGTTGCGGCTGTGAGAACATGCTCCCCCATAGGCCACAGGAAGCACTAACTACACTTTGAGAGGTTGCCGTAGGTACTACACTTTGAGATACACTTTGCTGTAGTTAGTGCTTCCTATGGCCTATGGGAGCATGTTCGCACAATCGCCATACAGGTAGAGTTATGATAATAAATAAAAACATTACATCCAGTATACTCACTGTAACAAAAAATTTTTTATCATTGTATTCAGGTGTTTGCAGTAAGCTCCTTATTGTTTTTACCGATTCGCTTCCGATTTAGAGGGTGTTTGGTTTCTAGTGCCCTCCTAAAATTCCTGTCACATCAAATATTTAGACACATGCATAGAGTATTAAATATAGATTAATTACGAACACAATTTACGACTAATTTGCGAGATGAATCTTTTAAGCATAATTAGTTTATAATTTGACAACTTAGTGCTACAGTACATGTGCTAATGATCAGATTAATTAGGCTTAAAAAATCATCTCACAAATTAACCTCTATCTATATAATTGGTTTTGTAATTAATCTATATTTAATATTTTTTATTAGTATCTAAATATTCAATATAACATGAATTTTAGGAGGACTCAAAGAACCTAGCACCTCCTTCGAATCAGTTCCACTTGTTTAACTGGACGTAACTGCAGCAAGATCGGTCTCCATCTTATCCTGGGTAAAAAATGAAGATAGGAGTACATCCCTTTCCCTGTAAAGGTAACAAGGACCACAAACGCACAACATCTTATCCCTTTCCATGTGGGGCACGTAAACTTTGGATAGTGAAGATTCCCTGCTATAGCATTTCGTTTGTATTTGTGAATTATTGTCCAAACATTGACTAATTAGGCTCAAAAGATTCATCTCGCAAAGTTAAAGCAAACTATGCAATTAGTTTTTGATTTTGTCTACATTTAATACTTCATGCATGTACCGTAAGTTTAATTTGACGGAGAATCTTCTTTTTATATAGTGCATTTTTCACGAATCTGGAGGAACTAAACAAGGGCACAATTAATTCAGGTCGCTTCAGCCAAGGATTGATGCATGCTTCCACATGAAGAAGAGCAGGCGAATTATTCGTATATGACCCCTTCTCTTTCCTAACTGATGAAGGCTGGCTCAACCAAAAAGGTCCTTGTCACCAGAAAGGTCAGGGGGCAAAAGAGAAATTTTACATCCAGGTTTGAGCTAGGGATATTTGATGATGGTCCAAGGACCTGTTTGTATGCCATAGTTTTTAGAAAACCATAGTATCCACATAAAATGAATGTATGCCATAATTTAAGGGGGAAAAACAATGGCATCTAGAACTCATAGTTTTCAAACACATGCATTCAAAATCATGGTATAGAAAAAAAAGAAAGACATTGAGTAGAGTTTCTAAACCTAAAAAATTGTGAATTAATCAGGAGTCCCTCGCATCGCTCCCACGCGAGCGACACGGGAGGCGACCTGAAACCGCGCCGCCGCTGGCATGGCCGTGCGGCTTGCCTGAAGGGCGGCGGCGGGGCCCTTTCTTCGCGGTGGTGGGTGCGGTGGTCGAGGGCGAGCTCGCTCGTGGCGTCCTGGGGCGCGGCGCAGGCGTCAGCAGCGGCGGTCCAGGACATCAGGGACTACCTCCTCGAACCGGCATCCGGATCCGGCGGGGCTTGGGTCGGATCCATGCAGAGGGCCTGTGCTCGACCCTTGGGCGGTCGTTGGGCGATGGCGGCAGCGACTATAGCCCAAGATGCCGATTCGACGCCGGGGGACACGTGCGGTGATGGCTGTGCCGGCTTGGGGCGCCGGGGATGGGCCTCTTCATCTTCCTCGTGCTCAACAGTGGTGGCGACGTGCGCAGCGGCGGGCCAGCGGAGCGCGCCCTCGCGTGAGCCACGTGGGGCTCGGTAGGGCCACCTGCTGCAGCTGCGGCGGCGCCAGGCGGCGGCGGGGGGCTTCTTCCTCCTCCCCTGCATCCCCAGGGCAGGGGGCGTCACTCGTGGTGGAGGGTGCGACTGACGGTGGCTGGCGGAGGTCGGCAGCGTCGACGTCGGGTGCTTCAGCCGGCGGTGGCAGTCGGCGATGGCTTCGGCGTGCGGCAGGGGATGCGCGCAGCAAGGTGAGGCCGGTCTTCGGCATGTTGTTTGGTCGGCAGGGGTTGCTGACGCAGCTGTGCGGCTTCTCGCGCAACCAGCGCGTCGGTGCCCCTCTGGCGAGGCTTTTGCGAGATGGCCGACATTGACGATGGTGGCGACAAGCTAGGGTCCGACATCTTAGCTGATGTCTGTGCTGGGGTATCTTGGGCGAAAGCCTAGCGACAGCGATGCCTATGGGCGCCGCTTCCCTGCTGAGGGCGTCGTGTCCCAACAACGTCTTCCAAGGGTGAACCGGGTTCATTCACGGACGAGCGACTGCGGCGCATTCGGCGTCGTACCCTTCTTGAAGGCATCACTGTGGAATTCGACTCAGTCGCGATGTCTCCTGTGGTGGATGACATCCGCTTCTCGGTGCTCGGTCAACCCCTTTTTCCATGGCTGGGTTTGCTTCGGATGCACGGCAATCGCCGTGGGCGGGGCGTGATATCAAGGTTGGAAGTCGGAGCTGCTCTTTGCGACGCGCTTGAGCTCGGCAATGATGACCTGCCACGCCTCCTACCTTGGGCCCTGGGTCTCAAATCTTAGTTGGGTCGTTTGTGAACTGCTATGGGAAGTCGAAGCTGCTGGCTGCTTTGCAACCATGCTCGGCAACGATGACTCACGGTAGTATGTACTCTATCCCGTTTGCATGGGTGGGCTAGCCTTTCGTGGTGTTTGATGCCACGTTTGTCTGCCCTTACTTGTACATAAAATTACTCTCTTCTTATCAATGAAAGCCGATAATGGATCTTTCGAAAAAAATAAACATAAAAAATTTAAACTTAGCAATAGCATGGTTCTAAGAACCAAAAGATTTTTTTGCCAAAACAACAAATAAGTGTTCAACACTAAATTACAGGAATATAGTTCCACTAGTCCAAAAGGCATCCTTAGTATTGTTGACTTTTTAGTCTTTGAAGTGCAACTTTGACTATTGTTTTTATTAGAATATTGAGAATCATGAAGATAGTTTAAAGGTAAATCTTATGAGCTCTTTTATAATGGTTGGAAAAGTACCATGGGTACTTCTAGTACTTTCATTTTTTATATTTATTAGCCATTTATTAAAAAAGAAAGATTATTTATAAAATTTAAAATTAATTCTTGAGGATATATTGGTAATTGTTTGTTTGCTCTCCCTCCTCACCACACGATTTTTTGAGATATGAAACAAAAAAGATATTTAAAAGTACTAATATTAAAAAGTGTAAAATTTAATTGTTTTGGTTAAAATGTCAAGAAAAGGGGAGTGTCCCTACTATATACTGAAAAAGAACTATGCATTAACTTTTTCGAGCCATGTGTCAAGCTGTGAAACCTAGTTTACCCAAGTCCCTTTCTTTATAAAAAAGAATGTAGACTAGCCTTCGTAACTCTTCAGTTGAGAATCTTTCTATATGAATCCTGCGTCCAAACCGCGGCCATCCAGCGTGCCACGTCACGGGCTTTTCACGGCCGTTCGATCGGGCGCGCAGACGGCCCAGATTGGGCGAGAGGCGGTAATTTTTCGAAAACCTCCTTCTATTTTTCGGAAATCAACCCGCGCTCCAGAGACCCTCTCAGTATATTTTACAAACAACACCTCATATTATTTCGAAATCAACCCGCAGTCCGATCCTTCCCTCCTGATGCGGCGGCGGTTGCCAGGCGACGGCGCCCCTGCGGCCGCTGCGCCGGCGCGAGTGGGGCCCGGCGGCCCGCGGCCGCCACGGACAGCAGCAACCGGTAGCAGGAGTGCAGGCCCCGAGCCCTACTGCAGCCGCCGACGACACCGCGCCGAACGCCATGGCCGACCCGGCGGAACCGAGGCCGACCGTGACCGGATGCGCCTCGCCGCGCTCACGCTGCACGACGCCGCCAGGGACAAGCCGGACCGGAAAGCTGACGTCTTCGCGGATCTCGGCTCGCCGGTCTCGCCGCTGCGCCTGCGCCCGGCAGCGACGCCCTCGTCCTCGTCCTCCTCTGCCGGCTCCGCCAAGTCGCCGGCGCCGGGCAATGCGGCCGCGGGGAGGGGAGGCCGGGGCAGCCACTCGGGCGAGCTGGCGCCGGAGAGCACCAACCTGCCGCGCCGGCCTGGCCACCGCCGCTCCGGATCTGGCCCGCTCATTTTCTCCGGCGCCAGCAGCAGCGCCGGCAGCGTCGGAGGAGGAGGGGGAGGCGGCGGGAGCGGGAGCACCGCCAGCTCACCGCTCACCAATGCGCTCCCCACCAGCAACATCTGCCCGTCCGGCCGCCGTCGCCGCCGCGCGCTCGCCCCGTCGTGCTCGGATCCGGCACCGGCCACTACGGCCATGGCAGCATCATGCGCGGCGGCGGCGGCGGGAGTGGCGGGGGAGCGACTCCCACGAGGACCAGCGTTGACGCGGCCCCGCTGCTCCACAGCAAAAACTCCTCGAGGTCCCCGGCGAGGTGCCCTGCGCCGCCGGCCACCAGCGGTGATCTGCAGGAAATCACTCGCGCGGGGAACGAGTGGTACAAGAAGGGCCGCCATGCCGAGGCGCTGCGGCACTACGACCGTACCGTGGCGCTCTGCCCCGACAGCGTCGCGTGCCGCGGCAACCGCGCCGCCGCGCTCATCGGGCTCGGCCGCCTACCAGAAGCGTTCCGCGAGTGTGAGGAGGCCGTCCGCCTCGATCCGGCCAGCGGCCGTGCTCACGGCCGCCTCGCCGGCTTATGCCTCCGGTGACACTTTCCTTCGCTTGCCTTGTCTGCGCATGCCTGTTCTCCTGCTCTGGAATGGAATGGAATTGCATCCATAGATCTCGCATATTTGTCTCCGCTTTGCTTGCGTGCAAACCCAATATGCTGCTCCTTTTCCGTCACTTCCCTGTGCCATGTTGATCTGATTTGGGATTATTACAGTTATGGTGCTGATCATTACTGTTTCTTCTCTAGCTTGTTTTGGAAGTAAAAGCTCTAATCCTGTGATTACATGAGAAACATGAGAAAGTTTGCATCTTTATAGTTGGTAGTATGGATGAAAACGGTACGGATATTTATTCGACCGTCCGTTCGACCGAACAAATATGAACACTTATCTGGATAGTTGCTCGGATATCCGTATTTTTTTTCGGATACGGATACTAAAACGGATATCTTAAGCGGATATCAAATACGGATGTAATATCATCGATATCCGGCGGATATCGGATAATCCGGATAAGTATCGGATATATCCGGATATTTAAAAACGGATATTATCCGGATATTTATTCAAACGACCTTGGATGGAGAAATGATCAAAATAAAAATTGTAGATCTCAAAAAGTTATGAAACTTTGTTGTTTACAACTTTTTCGTTTGAAATCATTTAGTGCTTCAAAATTTAAACCGTCCAAACTTTCTCAAATGGAAAACTAGTTTATAGGCGTCAAAATTTAAAAATCATAAATTTGAATCATCCAAACTATCTTAAATGGAAAGTTGACCAAAACAACAATTGTAGATCTTGATGAGTTGAACAAACTTGGTATTCAAAACTTTTCAATTTGAAGTCATTTAGAGTTCATAATACTAGAGTCAAAGTGTTGTTTTTTCATTTGACCAAATTTGACTTGGTCAAACTTGCTCAAATGAGACACTAAATGACCTCAGATGAAAAAACTCTGAATATCAAGTTTGATCATCTCAGCAAGATCTACAATTGTTACATAGCTCATTTTCCCATTTGAGAAAGTTTTATCAAACACTAGTCATAAATTCTTGAATCTCATATAGACTTTCTGAAACTATGTCACACACTTGTGAAATTTGAACTATATTTTGTTCAAACTTTCTCAAATGAAAAAATTGCCTATATAAGGATTGTATATCTTGATGAGATGAACAAATTTGGTATTCAAAACTTTTCAATTTGAGACAATCTAGGGTTCCGAAAACTAGTTTGTAAACGTCGAAATTTAAAAATCACAAATTTGAACCGTCCAAACTATCTCAAATGGAAAGTTGACCAAAACAACAATTGTAGATTTTGATGAGTTGAACAAACTTGGTATTCAAAACTTTTCAATTTGAAATCATTTAGAGTTCATAATACTAGAGTCAAAGTGTTGTTTTTTCATTCGACCAAATTTGACTTGGTCAAACTTGCTCAAATGAGACACTAAATGACCTCAGATGAAAAAACTCTGAATACCAAGTTTGATCATCTCAACAAGATATACAATTGTTACATAGCTCATTTTCCTATTTGAGAAAGTTTTATCAAACACTAGTCACAAATTCTTGAATCTCATATAGACTTTCTGAAACTATGTCACACACTTGTCAATTTGAACTACATTTTGTTCAAACTTTCTCAAATGAAAAAATAGCCTATATAAGGATTGTATATCTTGATGAGCTGAACAAACTTGGTATTCAAAACTTTTCAATTTGAGACAATATAGGGTTCCGAAAACTAGTTTGTAAGCATTGAAATTTAAAAATCACAAATTTGAACCGTCCAAACTATCTCAAATGGAAAGTTGACCAAAACAAGAATTGTAGATTTTGATGAGTTGAACAAACTTGGTACTCAAAACTTTTCAATTTGAAGTCATTTAGAGTTCATAATACTAGAGTCAAAGTGTTGTTTTTTCATTGGACTAAATTTGACTTGGTCAAACTTGCTCAAATGAGACACTAAATGACCTCAGATGAAAAAACTCTGAATACCAAGTTTGATCATCTCAGCAAGATATACAATTGTTACATAGCTCATTTTCCCATTTGAGAAAGTTTTATCAAACACTAGTCACAAATTCTTAAATCTCATACAGACTTTCTAAATCTATGTCACACACTTGTGAAATTTGAACTACATTTTGTTCAAACTTTCTCAAAATGAAAAAATGGCCTATATAAGGATTGTAGATCTTGAATCCATGACCATGACTCCATGAGACCCATGAAGAAATGTGCTTGGCTATTTCTACTCATGTCGCGAAGATTGGTGCTTGTATGATGTTTGATGTATGATGTATCTGTATCTTTATCTTATTTGTTGCTTTACTCTTTAGTCTTTCGGCTTAATCTAGATGGATTATGGACTCAGAGTGGTGTAATGGTTTGCGCACGTATGATATATACATATATATATATATATATATATATATATATATATATATATATATATATATATATATATATATATGCTGCTTTTACTCAATATCCGAATAGATATTTGTATCCGACCTTCTCCGAATCCGATTCATACCGTATTCGATACTCATTATTCGTATCCGTAACCGAGTCAATCTGTATTCGTATATGTATCCGAACGCTATCCGTGTCCGAATTCGAATCCGAACAAAAATATGAAAATAAATATAATATGAGTGATATCCGTTCGTATCCGATCCGTTTTCATCCCTAGTTGGTAGTATGTTGCAGTGAGTTAATGTGGACTTAACACGATGTGCATCACACAATGCAGCTGATAGGGACTGCTTACCAGCATTATCGATTGTGCTTTGACCACGTCGGGGATAATCTCATATTCTTTGAATAGTGGTACTGATTGTATAATTGAAAAAATGTAAGTTTTTCTCGATTGCACAATGACTGACTGACTACCATATTGCAGGCTTGGGATGATTGAGAAGGCAAGGACGCACTTCACACTGGCTGGAAGTGTAAACCAGTCTGACCCTGCTGAGTGGCAGAAGCTGCATGAGGTGGAAATCCATCAAGGGAGATGCATGGATGCAAGGAAAATTGGAGATTGCAAGAGTGCACTCAGGGAAGCCGATGCAGCCATTGCCATTGGAGCGGACTCCACTAGATTGGTAACCCTTCATTATAATTTTGTTTGAAAATATGTTGCCTTTTCCTGGTAATCGAGTCATTCACAAGGGAACCGTACTTTTGCACTGCAGCTTCTTGCCTTGAGGTCGGAAGCACTGCTTCGGTTGCACAAATTAGAGGAAGCTGATTCGACTATTACAAGCTTACTGAAATTGGATAATGCATCATTGCCTTCAATGCCAACCAAAGTCTCAGGCTCAGGCATGTCAGCTGATTCTTATGTCCATATTGTCCAATCCCAGGTCAACATGGCATTTGGAAGGTACAAATACCGAGCCGTCCTCTCCAAGAATCGCATTAATAAAGGAGAACTACTACACATTATGGCATGTTTTAGTAAGAATTTTTTCATATAAAATTTTACCTATGCTTTTTAAGGGTAAATAAAATTATACCTTCACGATGATAAAGTCTCCAACAAAACATAAAAATCATACAATAAAAAAAATTTTGAGTTCCTCGTCACTACACCTATATTGCCACTGGCCAATCGAAAGGGAAGGCGCGGCAAAGCCGCGCCCGTATTTCTAGTGACGATTGAAGAGTGCCCTGCCCCTATTTTTTAACCTTATAAATCTTCTGAAGTGGCAACATTATGAATGTAAACATGGAGGCAAACTAACTCAAATAATCTAGGGACTAAACACATGCACATAATCTCATCAAAATATATTAGTGCCTTAACTGTGTTGCCATTTGATCCATCAAAATATATTCAATCTCTCTTTTCCAATTGTCAACAAGATAAAATTATTTGGAGAATTGAGTCTATTACTCATATGCTTGGTAACTACTTCCTCCATTCCAATTCATAGACCATTTTGACTTTTATAGATAAATAACTTTTATTATGTATCTAGACATATCAAATATCTAGGTGCATAGCAAAAGCTATGTAGTTAAGAACATATGGTGATAGCTAACAAGCCTAGGGAAACTGGAAAGAGGATTGACTTTTGGGGGTGGAGGGTTGCAACACTTTTTTTTGGGTATACGGGGCACCTGGTAACAATTTTATTTTTGCGAAAAAGGCAATTTGCTTCTTTTATGTAGGCAACTTGCACGGAACATATTGGCAATCCACGTACCGAGGAGAACTTTGGAGGTCACTGATCTTGATATTTTCGCAAAAATGGATAGGGCTAAAATTTTGTATGAATTTGGTTCTGTGTAGTTGTAGAGTCCGACTTTCTTATTACTCCCTCCAATGTTCTAAAAAAGTCATTTTAGACAGTGATACGGTCTCCAAAGCATAACTTTGACTTCTTATTTTTATGAAAATATTTATTGAAAAGTGATATGTGTATATTTTTATAAAAAATATTTTTCAAAACAAATCTATTCATATGATTTTTATATTTCCATAAAAGTTACTCTCTCCAAAACAAATCTATTTGTATTTTATCGTGATTGCTCCACCTTCACGTCGTTCAAGCTCTCTCACTTCGGTAGTGTCTCCACCAATGAGTGGTGAGACAAGTAGCTGAACCATGGCAGGGGTAGGTGTACGACCCACAAGACAACATCAAACGACACTCTTTAAGGGACAGTTTTTTAAAGCTAAAACGACTTTCTTTTCACAGAGGGAGTACTCATGATTTATAAGCCACACGCTGTATATTTCGACCAAAGCCTCGTCTAAAAGGCCTTCTTTTAGTGACATGGAGGGAGTATTTTCGCAAATATAAATTAATGGGTAATTTGTGTCCAATTTAACAATTTATTCCTACTTATTTACTCAATCTGACTTGACTATGGTCTTTTTGGAACACGCAGTTCTTTTCTCCCAAAGTCCCGCAAAATTTTTGGAACACGCCATCCTTTCTATTTCCCAAACCCTAAGAAATAGGAACTGATTCTTATAAAATTTACACAGAACTCCTGTTAAAAGTCCGTATTTCACAAACCCTACAGAAATACACTATTAGTAGTGTTCTCTGTTCTGAATGACACTTGAAAAACAAGCGCAGCATTCAGCCATTCATCGCAGTCCAGCGAGGCGAGATGAGAAGCTCCTTCTGGAGAATCCTGTGCCCTGTGGCCTGTGGATGGGGAGATAAGGATCAGCGCACCCGCACGTACGGGTGCAGTAGCAGCTGGGACCCCCAGCCCAGAGTTCCTTCTTTACTCCCAGCTCCCAGGGTCAGGCAGGCTCCCCACTCGCCCGCAGCCACAGGCCGCTAGGGCAGAGACAGAGACGCCACAAGAAAACAAGAAGAAATCCGCTGCGAAATTCCGGATTAAAATAAGGTTCGTCCTCTTGCTGCGTGATGTCACCCGCTGCCTTTCTCCGATTCTTTCTTCTCCTTCTCCATGTAAAAATTATGCCCAAACTCAAGAAGGGCACTCATGCCTGCTTTCTTGTTCCCCCTGGCTTTCTTTTATTCTTCTTCTGCGCTCTGTTCTCTTGCGGCCCTGGGTACAACAAGGGAGGAGGGGAGGCAAACGCTTGGCACAGGTAGGGTTCTTGGGGTCTGGTCTGGGGGTTCTTTTCATCTCTAGCTGTGATCTTGGGACTGCTTCTTGATCTGGGCCGGAAGAACCAAGAAGCACTCGCAATTGTGTTCTTGCCTGTTGCTGCATTGCTGCATAGACTCTGTGGAGTGGTTAAACTGCTGGGGTGTTGGAGATAATGCTAGTTGATTAGTGTATCTTTACTTGACTGGTTGAAAGTTCCTTTATTTGGGGAAATTTTTGTTTGAGATTTCTCCTCGTCCTTGTTGTGTCAGCTCGATCCATCCATCCGTGTGTGCTCATTTTCCTTGAAGCAATGCAGTTGCAAGCTCAGCGTTTCTCATTTTACCTTTGTTGCTTCCATACCACATGTATGTACGGTGCCAGTAGTAAAGTGAAGGGATTTTTCTTTGCTCACGGGTTCTCAGCTTTTGGGCCCTGCCCCTTTGGAATTTGGATGCTTTTGTTGTGATTCCGAGAACAAAAAGTTTGGAATCTTTGAATTGGTTTTGGCCCAAATGATGGCTGGCTGCGAGAGCTTGCACTGGCAGGCACCTTCCGTTCCCCTTTGCTCCCTGTCTTTCCATTCCGGGTCCTGCTCTGCTTTTCACCTTCACTGACTGGCATGAGTTAAACGATAAAGAAGATTCTTTTTTTTACATGCTATTTGCTCAGAAGAGAGTACTGCTGATTTTGTGATATTACTAGATCTACCTTCTTATTTCTTATATCCTTGAAATATTTAAAGATTTTTCCCCACAGAGATTTCATCCTCATAGCTGGACTTTAAGCAGCCTGATATGTTTAGATTTTTATTTTAGTGGTATGACCATGATTTGTACTTGCCAGGCTGAATTGTTCATTCTACAGAATTGGGGTGTCATTTTTGTTTGAGATCTTTCTACAACATATTGGGAGTTTGAGTTTTGAGATACAGAGTACTGTCCCCTGCATACATGGTCATATTTAAACAGTTCTTTCTAGCCAAACATCTTTGAAATCGTCAAACCTAAAATTTGACAGCTTAAAACTATATGTCTGTCTTCTCTTCACTGGCACTCGCGCTAAATGGTAGAACTGCTGTTGCAGAACTGTGCACAGAATTTTTTATTAAAACAATGTAACCAGAGATAAGAACACTTTGCTTCCAGATGAAACGTAGCTTGAGTTAGTAGATCCATAATGCATACCTTGTTTATTCCATATTTTGGCAGATTCTTCATTTTAAGATATTTGAAATGCCAGTTGGACTTGGCCTTCTGGAATGCCCTGCTAAACCATAGGCGTGTTCTATTGGAAGTTGGAACAATAACTTGATATAAAGTTCAAGCCTAAACAAAACCATGGAGAGTGAAATCGTGGCCTCCTATGAAACCAAGCAGAACTGCGAAATAAGGGTATTCGAGAGTTCAGACGAGATGGCAACAGATCTGGCAGAGTTTATTTCACAAGCTTCAGAAATTTCAGTTAAGGAAAGAGGATACTTTGCTATTGCCCTTTCTGGAGGCCCCCTTGTCAGACATATGCGGTAACGCTGTCTCCACTCTTCCAATAAATCTGCAACTCAGTATGCATATTCTTGTATCTCCCTCTGAAGTCCGAACTGTTTTTTTTTTCCTTGAAAAGGAAGCTCTGTGATGCGCCATACAACAAGACCCTTGATTGGTCTAAATGGTACATCTTCTGGGTCGAAGAACGTGCGGTGGCAAAGAACCATGCAGAGAGTAACTACAAGTTAACAAAGGAAGAATTTATCTCCAAGGTATATCAACTTAATATATGTCCTTTGTTTATTTTGCATGCACTAAGTCTACAAATCACAACAGGATATATGCTAAGTTCATGTATTTGTTGCATCTGTTCTTTATTTCACAGAGCTTATGTGTCCACCAACTTTCATTCTTCTTATGTTTTACTACAGTTGATCTTGCTTTGCTTGCAACAAAATCATATCACTTATTTTAACTGTTCTTCTTGAATTCTTCTAACATGGGCAAGATATTAGTAAAGTCAACGACTTTGATTAGTTTTGCAGATACATTGAACAGACAGAAATTGGTAGGTTTCGCAATTCCACCAAGTTATGTTGATGGAATAAATATATCTGAAGTAAATAAATATACATATCTGAAGTATGCCCCTCCATGATTACAAGGAATACCATTTTGACGCTCCAAACTATATCGGACTTTGGCTTTGTCCGAAGTCAATCTTCTGTTTAACTTTTAACCAACTTTCAAGAAAAACATATTAACATTTATAAGTTCAACTGTTCAAATAAATGGACAATCCGAACTTATTCCATGGATAATTTAATAAAACTAATTTGATTTTGTAAGTCCAAAAATATTTTAGCTTGGTATTTCTGAATTTGGTGAGCAGAGTTTGTAAAATTTACTTTAAGATGATTTGGATGGCTATTGGTTGATAGTGAATGGTGTGTGTTTAAAAAAAAAATAGAAAAGGACTGTTTGCAATACATTTGATTATGGAAAAATGCAGGTTCATATTACAATAGTACGATAGTAATCACACAATATGACATTCAAAGACAGTGCTCATTTTTCTGTTTCTTTAGATCTAGAAACATATATTTTATTTTATTTGTGTTGGTACTGGTATGTGCTAGGGATGTAGATACTCAAGAATTAACAGACAGAGCTAGCACTAATATTTGAGATAAAGTTTAAACTGAAAGCAACATTGTAAAAGGTCAGTCTAGCACTTTGTGTGGTTGCTAGTAGTAACCAGGAAAGGATAGTACCTGTTGAGTTTTACTATAAAATATGAATATTGCCAGTACTAACTTTGTTTCTGAACCAAGTCACTTCAATTTCATCTTTCACAAAATCCATTTTTAGTTGCATCAATGCATTGGGAGCACACCAAAATGATGTCAGTCTTTGTGCTTTGATCTGGTGCAATCTGTTTGGAAAAATAGCTACCATGCTCTGTAAGTTGAAATATAGTTTTTTACTTACCTATTTTTCGCAATAAATTTGGGTCGTACCTGTTCATTTGTTTGGTGTACCATGAAAGCAGTTTTTTGTCCGACCTATGGTTTTGTTTGACTCGGGATGGACCTAGTCTGTCCTTTGTACAGCTCATGCAAAATCCTTTTCTGAATAATTAAGCCACATTAAGGCTGCCTACCTACTATTGTTCCAACTACTCTTGGATTGGCAGCTGCTTATGGCATCTTCACATATCTTTCGACCCCCACGAAAAAATCTTTGACACATCTTTCTATTGTTATGTTATGCCCAACAATTGTTATCAAATATAAACTTTATCAGGATAGGATTGATGTTTGTCAGTGGATCTCATCCAGAACTAGCATGATAGTGAACTCAAGGAGCGTACATTAAATTTTGGATTACCTTTTTAACTGAATTGCTTGTCATCCTCATCCGATCACACTTTGCCACTGATAGTTGCTGGATGAATGATTGGTTAAAATAGGCACATGAGTTCATATGCATATTTAGGCCTTATTAAGTTGACACTTTCTTACAGTTGTCGAAGGAGGATGCTAAAAGTGAGTGTATAAACAAGTAGCGATGCTTCACTGAACATCTCTATTGTCATGTTGAAATAATATGCATTATTTCTCCACCTTTCTAACTGCTTTTGCCTCTACTATGTGGATCATGTTTATCTTTCATTTTGTTTATTACCACACATTACCAAGCATTTCCATTGGGTAAACCAATAACCATGAGTTACATGTGAATGACTGGCAGGTGCCTATTCTTCATGGTCATGTCTACTCCATCAACGACAATGCAACGGTGGAAGAGGCAGCAACTGACTATGAATTTGTCATCCGGCAGCTGGTCAAGGTTCAGAAAGTTGGAGTCTCAGTGATCAACGACTGCCCCAAATTTGACCTTATTCTTCTGAACATTGGTCCTGACGGGCATGTAGCCTCATTGTTCCCCAACCATCCAGCGCTTGAGCTGAAAAACGACTGGGTCACCTACATCACTGACTCTCCAGAGCCTCCACCTGAGAGGATTACCTTCACCCTTCCTGTGATAAACTCAGCATCAAACATCGCCATAGTCGCCACCGGAGAAGACAGGGCAAACGCTGTGTCTTTTTCCATTTCTGACTGTCAAGAAGGCCCAGACGCTAAAACAATACCGGCTGGAATGGTTCAACCAACTGATGGGAAGTTGGTATGGTTTCTGGACGAGGCCGCTGCTTCATCTCTTGAGGCTGCAAATGGTGCTTACGAGCACCAAGGGTACTGAGACAACTGTAGAAGACATGGAAATTTTCAACTCTGAAGAAATCAGAGAGTAGGGTTCGCAAAGGTAGCGCCCAGTCTGCATGTCTCAAGGTACAGAACTTTTTCCATCCAAATCCGTCAACTACATGAACAACTCTTCATTCATAGTAAAAAAGGATATCTGACTCCCACGCTTGAAAAAAGACAAGCCGCGGAGTTAGACATCCTTTTTGCTCTGAATGAAGAGTTGTTCATGTAGTTGGCGGGAGAAGTTCTGTACCTTGAGACATGCGGACTGGGCGCTACCTTTGCGAACCTACTCTCTGATTTCTTCAAAGTCGGAAATTTCCATGTCTTCTGCAGTTGGATGTGGCCAAGAGTGAAGCAATTTGTGTTTTTAATGTCGAGACCTCATATCAGAGTAGCTAAGTTTGACCAATATATATCAGAGTAGATAAGTTCGACCATATATTGGTCGCAACATATGGTCCAATTTAAGTGTGTTGTCAGTTTTATCCTAGCTGAAATCAGATTCCTTTTTGTGATGGTTTTCGAGGCTTCCTACTTTGTACTAGCAAATATATTGTGCCTTGGCACGATTTAGCACATATACATAAGTATTTGTATTCTTATGGACATTCCTGGACCCCTGAGAATGTATTATTTCGATTAAGTTGTATTCAGTATTTGCTCTGTTTCAATTGTGCAAAAATATTGTTGCTTGGAATGATTATTTCGTAGGGTTACTGCAGAATGCCGCGTTGTCACATGGAATTTTGTGGTGTAACTGGGGCAAAAATGACTTCGCTGTTCTTGCCACCTATTTGCTAGTACAAATCATGAAATCATGCCTAGCTGGTTGCATATCAACGTACCGTTCCTCTCCTATCAATATATTCGCCTAGCATAATCCTACCAGAAGTTTTCGAAAAAAAATAGTTTTTTAATCATACATTATAGACACAGACACTTATACGCATAATCCTACCAGAAGTTTTCGAAAAAAAATAGTTTTTTAATCATACATTATAGACACAGACACTTATACATGTGCGTATGAACTCAACACATCCTATTCCCATCCTATCCCTATATAGGGGTGTAGCCAGGATTTAGATATTGGGGTGCGTTTAAATACAGATGTCGTTGGAGATCAATACGAAGAGAGAACAAACAAGCAAAGCACTAATTACATTTGTTAACTAGCCAATTTGAATTATACCATATGAAGAACAAAATAAATCAGAAAGATAATAGAAAGACTAATCCTACATTATATAGATGGGATTAGAGACTTAGAAAGAAAGAACAAACAATTAAACTCTAATTAGCATTATTAACTAAAAAGTTAGAAATTAACTAAGTAATTAAGGGGAGCACTGTGGGGCACTAGAACCTTGGGGAACATGTCATGTCTCATATTCAGTAACCGGTCCTTTACTCTCGTAACCGGTCCTTAACAGCCAATTATCACCTTGATCTTCTCCACCTAGCTATATCAGACTATGTCATGTCTCATATTCAGTAAGCTCCTTCATCTTCATTAGTTGAGCACTTGCATCACATGCATAAGCCATCTCTCCTCTATGGCTTTCATGACTTGCTCAACCTAGTGTGGGGGGACTAAGTACCTGTCCATCTCACATGAAAACACATCATTCCACCTAAGGTTATCGCTCAATTACCGAAGTCAAACCGTGAATTTCGCATGGGCGCTCTCTTGGAAACTTGGCAAGCCTCACACACATACTTGAGCTCAGTATTTCCAATCACATACTTGATTTGCTTTTCATCATTTGAGTGTGATATCAACATCTTGTACATTGCATTGAGTAGCACTATAAGATTGTTGAGCAAGCGAGATTTCTTGTTACTCTCGGTAGCTGCCGCCACCTAGACGGCTTTGGTGTGTGTGGACTCCCTGAAGCTCAACAAGAAGATTGTGTTGGTGCTCCTGAGTAGGATTTGTGAGGGACTATTGCGCTCATCCTTATTGGAGGAGGCAAAGAGCGCCTCTAGTAGAAAAGAGGTATTGAGTAGCTTCTTGTTTTTCTAACCTGCTCAAGATCAAGAGCTCAAGGCACCGAGACAACCTTGCTGTGTTGGAAGATTGGTAGAGGAGCGGTGAACCAAGAGCTCACCTCAACATGGACTAGGGGTGACCGCTGATCGGTAAGTCACCGATACCACAAGGGTATACCATGTCATCTTTATGCTTGAACTCAATTTATTTTTTGCACTTATTATTGTGTTGTTTACATTCCTAGAATTGAATTTATCTCTCTTGTCATAGTAGGCCGCAAACCTTTAGCTAGAATTGAAGTAGCATTATTATGGTCATTTGTGTTTCTAATCAAAATTGCCTTAGTGTCTTTAGTTTTTAGTGGTCATAGGCTATTCACCCCCTCTAGCCGGTTCCTGTATCCTTTTAATGGGAGAGCAGATCAACAAAGATACCAAAAGTTGAGTTTCTTGTCTAGCCATGCAAAGTAAAGGGTGGTAAGGCTACCAAAAATCTCTAATTTGGTTTTGGTGAATTGATGAAACCCTAAGTGCTAACCCTTGTACTCTAAGTGATCATGAGATAGGGTAGCACATTCCAAGTGGTGGAGCAAACAATGAAGATCATGATGATGGTGGTGTGACCATGGTGATGATCAAGTGCTCGGACTTGGAAAAGAAGAAAGAGAAAAACAAAAAGCTCAAGGCAAAGGTGAAACTTGATAGGAGCTTTTTGGTTTGGTGATCGAGACACTTAGCGAGTGTGATTATATTTATGATCGATAGCTGTACTATTAAGAGGGGTGAAACTCGTATCAAAATGCGGTTATCAAAGTGCCACTAGATGTTCTAACTAATTGCATATGCATTTAGATTCTAGTGAATGCTAACACCCTTGAAAATGTTTGTGAAAATATGCTAACACACGTGCACAAGGTGAAACACTTGGTGGTTGGCACATTTGAGCAAGGGTGGAGAAGTTGGTGAAGTGGAGGAGTTGTTTTTCTCTGCCCGGATGATGGTCACGAAGTGACCGGACTCGGGGTTTGGCGTGTCCTGTCATCGGTGCAGTGAAGAGCGTGGCGACGGTCTCTGATCGGACGCTGGTGCAAGAAGTGACCTGACGCGACGGAGGTGCATCCGGTCGTGTATGACGTACGCTGACGTAAGCTTTTTCGTGAGGAAGGAATGAGTGAACGCTGGGGCGCGTCCGATCATCGTTGACCTGACGCGTCCGGTTGTGTTTGGACGGCTCTAGAACCTCTCTAGAGTTGACCTGACGCGCGGTGGCGCAGCATCAGGCAAAGGGAACGGCGCGTCCGGTCACTGACTGGCTGTGCGCGGGTGCGTGAGGATCGGACGCCGGGCGGCTGCGTCAAGTCATGGCGCGGTGTGTCTGGTCGTAACTTAAGCGTGAGCGCGGGCAAGTCGACCGTTGAGATCGGGCGATGCAGGTTTGAAGGAGGGGGCCACATGGCGCTCATCGGGTGATCCGACGCTGGCACTTGCGTCTAGTCACCTTTGACTAGCGCGTCCGGGCGGCCCATAGTGAGATGCCCGTGGTGCCCAACGGCTCTATTTTGTGGGGGCTCCTATTTAAGTCCCATGGATGGCTATAGCTCATTCTCTTGGCTATTTGTATTGACATAGCAACCTTGTGAGCTTAGCCAAAGCCCTCCCACTCATCTTCATCATTGATTCATCATCTTTGTGAGATTGGGAGTGAATCCAAGTGCATTGCTGAAAGGTCCTAATGGCTAGAGGGGGGGTGAATAGCCTAATAAAATTTCTACAACAACACTTAACAAAAGAATTAGACAATTATGAGACGAAGCGAGTTTTGCGCTAGCCTACCAAAAAGCAAGCCACCTACCACAATTCTAGTTTAGATGAAGTATATCTACACAATAGCTATATCACTACACTAAGTTAGGGTGCTCTCAAAAGCTAATTAAAGAGCCACACTAGCCAAACTAACAAGCTCTCACAACTAGTTACACTAAAGAGCTTGACAACTAGTTTGCGGTAATGTAAAGAGAGTGATCAAGAAAGTTATACCGCCGTGTAGATGAAGAAGCCAATCAATCACAAGAGTGAATAACAATGAAGACCAATCACCTCGGAATCAAAGGATGAACACAATGATTTTTACCGAGGTTCACTTGCTTGCCGGCAAGCTAGTCCTCATTGTGGCGATTCACTCACTTGGAGGTTCACGCGCTAATTGGCATCACACGTCAAACCCTCAATAGGGTGCCGCACAACCAACACAAGATGAGGATCACACAAGCCACGAGCAATCCACTAGAGTACCTTTTGGCGCTCCGCCGGAGAAAGGTCAAGAACCCCTCACAATCACCACGATCGGAGCCGGAGACAATCACCACCCTCCGCTCGACGATCCTCGCTGCTCCAAGCCGTCTAGGTGGCGGCAACCACCAAGAGTAACAATCGAATCCCGCAGCGAAACGCGAACATCAAGTGCCTCTAGATGCAAACACTCAAGCAATGCACTTGAATTCTCTCCCAATCTCATAAAGATGATGAATCAATAATGGAGATGAGTGGGAGGGCTTTGGCTAAGCTCACAAGGTTGCTATGTCAATGCAAATGGCCAAGAGTGTGAGCTTGAGCCGGCCATGGGGCTTAAATAGAAGCCCCCACGAAATAGAGCCGTTGTACCCCTTCACTGGGTACAGCGCGGGGTGACCGGACGCTCCGGTCATATTGACCGGACCCTGGACCCAGCGTCCGGTCGCCCGATATCAGCCACGTGTCACACTGCATTCAATAGGGGTTGTCTGATCTCAACGGTCATGTATTGACCGGACGCTCCACTACAACTGACCAGACACTGAGCCACCAGCGTCCGGTCATTTCCAGTAAGGTTCCAGAAATGAATTTCTTCGACCGGACGTGTCCGGTCATGCTTGACCGGACCCTGCCAGCGTCCGATCACACTATGACTTCTTACTGTGCCGCCCGACAACACGACTGGACCCAGACCCTTAGCGTCCGGTCTGTCCATGACCCAACGTCCGGTCATTCACCGACGCTGGCGTCTTCACTGCCATACATGGCCGGACGCGCCGGTCCCCCAGAGGTCCAGCGTCCGGTCACTGTATAGCCAGCGACACTAACTCCTTTTCACTTCTATCTTCTTCACCCTTGCTCAAATGTGCCAACCACCAAGTGTATCACCTTGTGCATATGTGTTAGCATATTTTCACAAACATTTTCAAGGGTGTTAGCACTCCACTAGATCCAAAATGCATATGCAATGAGTTAGAGCATCTAGTGGCACTTTGATAACCGCATTCCGATACGAGTTTCACCCCTCTTAATAGTACGGCTATCAAACCTAAATGTGATCACACTCTCTAAGTGTCTTGATCACCAAAACAAAATAGTTCCTACAAAATATACCTTTGCCTTGAGCTTTTTGTTTTTCTCTTTCTTCTTTCTAAGTCGAAGCACTTGATCATCACCATGCCATCATCATCATCATGCTATGATCTTCATTTGCTTCACCACTTGGAGTGTGCTACCTATCTCATGATCACTTGATAAACTAGGTTAGCACTTAGGGTTTCATCAATTCACCAAAACCAAACTAGAGCTTTCAATTGCTTGAGTGATTGCATCTAGAGCCACTTGGTGATTGTGTTTTGCTGCGGGATTCACTTGTTTCTCTTGGTGGTTGCTGCCACCTAGATGGCTTGGTACAGCAAGGATCGTCGAGTGGAGGAAGGTGCTTGTCTCTGGTTTCGGACGTGGTAATTGTGAGGGGCTCTTGACCTTTCCCCGGCGGAGAGCCAAAAGGTACTCTATTGGATTGTTCGTGGCTTGTGTGATCCTCATCTTGTGTTGGTTGTGCGACACCCGATTGCGGGTTAGACGTGTGACACCTATTAGCGCGTAAACCTCCAAGTGAGTGAATCACCACAACAGGGACTAGCTTGCCGGCAAGCAAGTGAACCTCGGTGAAAAACCTTATGTCATCATTGTCTCCGAGGATTTCATTGGATTTCATTATGATTGATTGATTGTCTCTTGCCACGGCGGTATAACTTTACTACCTTGCTCTTGTATTTATATTTCCTAGTGTAGCTAAGCTCTTTAGTATAATTAGTTTTGAGAGCTAGCTTGTGTCTTGTCTAGTGGTTAGTGAGGCTCTTTAGTTAGTCTTTGAGAGCTCACTAACTTAGTGGTAGTGACATAACCCTTTGTGTGCTTAGAGACTATAGTAACTAGAATTATGGTAGGTGGCTTACATTTTTAGTAGGCTAGCGCAAAACTTGCTTCGCCTCATAATTGTCTAACCGCTTTTGCTTAGTGTTGTTGTAGAAATTTTTATAGACTATTCACCCCCCTCGAGCCATTAGGACCTTTCACTTCCAAATGGACCTTTAGGCTCCATCTAGCGGAGATTTAGTTTCTCTTCATATCACTGTCCACATCACTATAGTGCCACTATTCATAAAGTCCCTTTTCACTCTCTTGGCTTTGTCTTCCTAGCTACTATAGCAAAAAGCCAGAGCCAAGCTCTTCTAAACAAGCCCTTAAACTTCTCAACTTTTCTCCATAATCCATGGGCTACGATCCATGATACTACCGCGCAAGGTTGGTGGCCACAGGTTGATGGACTCAACTGCTCCCTTGTGCCATAACTCTTATCTCGCTGGCAATGACACGATTCTCTACACATTGTTGTCGACAAGGCTAGCCACCTCAAAGCACTCTGCGATGAGCTTAAGAGTTGCTCAACATCTGGGGTGGAGGATATGTCAGGCCAACCTGAGCCATGGCTATCCCTGTGATCTTAATTTTTCTTAATAATCATACAACAATCAGTTGCTAATTTGATTCATGCATCATTAGTGCCCCCCCCCCTAATTCATTGGTACCCCGCTTAAGATATTGTTCAAGCCCCGCTACAGCTCAATAGACCTACATAGACAAGTTAAAAAAGGGAACGTGCTCAAGCTCAAGAAGACCTCTCTTCCCACCACTGACCTCCACAGTCTTGCCCTAATTGCTATTGGGGCTCTTGATCATGTTTCCCTCAACAAGGCGGTACACATTTCCAATGTCTAAGTTTGAGCATGCCAGTTTTTTGCCACCTCTACGATGTCAGTGTATTGTTCTAGGATTTAAGAAACTGGCTAGAGGGACGAGGTGAATAGACGGTGACCTGTAAAAACGAAGACTAGACAATTTTGATTAGTAATGCAAGGGACCTACTTTCTGTTCTATTGGGGTTTGCAACTTTGGGTGACAAGCAAGCAATTTCAAGTATAGGAATATAAACAAGACAAAGTAGTTCTTGAATTAAACTTGAGCACAAGAGACCCAAGGAGCAAGTACCTTAAGAAAAAAAGTTGATCCCTCCTAACAATAATGGGCATGTTTGGTTGAACGTAGATGTGTTAGCTTAGCCCGTGAGATACTAGGAACAGCTATTTGGATGCATATGTATGTCGACTTGAGCTAGGCTCAACTCATACAAAATTTCTCCATCTCCTTGGCTTCGTAGAAATGAGATTAATATCTGTTTCTCGTGGACTTAGCTAGTCTGATGCAACTTGGCTTCTTCGAGTGTATGTGTTATCTCAATCGGAACATGAGTTCATGTAACCAATCAATAGCGCGATGCAACTTGACCAAAAGAATACAAGCAACCAAATAAAAAGATTTTGCACCGTCTAATCTTGGTGGGTGCCTACATATCAGGCCCAATACCACCCTCAACGGTCTTTCACCATGCAATAGTTCCAAACCCACCGGCCCAGAAACCCGGAGCACGGGAAAGGGCTCTCTCTCTCTCTCTTCTCCCCTGGTATGTCTCTGCCTGCATTGCTGCTGCTGCAGCAGCTTTTCAGGCTTTGCTTCTCTCTCCCTCCCTTCTCTGCCTCGCAGTGCTGACACGGTTTCCTAGGCGCCCTGCTCTGGCTTTCAGCTCTCTCTGGTGTGAGCAATGGCGAGGGAAGGCACGGCAAGGTTCTTTCAGCTCTCTCTGGTGTGAGCAATGGCGAGGCTGCGACTCCTACTGCTCCGGCATCTGGCTGCCGCCACTGCTCTGCTCGCCGGCTTCTCTTCTCTGCCTCCTCTGGCAGGTCAGTGCTTCACTAGCTGGCGCTTCAATCCTAGCAAAATGTTGTGAAATTTCTGCTCTGCTGGTGCTGGGGACTACGGAGTACTTAGTGCGCATGATTATTCGTGTTTTCTTGTTGGTTTCTTTTCCGATTTTTTATTTGTCTGCGCTGAAGTTGAAAGGCCTAAATGCCGTCACCTGAGCCCGTGCGCATTTCACTCTGATCCTTATTTTTGGCATCCATAGTAACTATGGTTCACAAATACGAATCTGAAGATAGCAACAGAGAGTTTGTTTAGAGTTGCATTACTAGCCAATCCAAACATGAATCCCGCCTGGCCGCCAGTATCATTATCTGTTGAAAAGATGTTAGAACTTCCATCCCTTTTGGCCACTGAATGACTGAAGCAGCAATCAGTTGTGCAAACAATGATGTCCTTGTCCTTTCATATACTGACCTGAGCACTATGACTTCAGATAGCAAGTTTGATGTCAAGAGGGACCATTTCTTATGTCCTCAGAGGCTCAGAGTACTGGCAAGTTCAGGAAAAAAATATCGATCTGATGTCCTGACCCATACTCCGTATCTTTCAAGAGTTCTTGGTTGTCAGATAACTTAGGTGATTGTGGTAAAATAAACTCTGCAAAAGTTAAAGGTGGTTCTTATGTCATCATCCGGACATCGATGGCTTTAGTTCATAGTTTGCACCCCATTTTGACATGTCCACTCTGGACTCTGGAGTCCTGAATATAGTGTTTTTATTGACCTATTTTAGTTTTCCTGGGAAATTCTAGTAAACTTTGATCCTTGTTGTGTCAGTGGTTACCATCTCTACTGTACAAATCAGTCTACCTGCCATTATTTGTATTACAACTGGATGCACATATATTGCTGAATATCCTCAATTCTAGTATTTTTTATGTATGGCCTATGGCCAAGGGATGAATGAGTAATTTCTTATGTTTGTACTGCTACTGCATGAGTGCATGCCCGTGAAATACATATCAATTCTAGCGAACTATGTTACTCTCAGTTGTGTCTTAGTTTGTGATATTAAAATACATCACACCGCATGGTCTTAGGTCTGTCGCTTTGTGAGGTCTTCAAGGGAGAGAAAAAAAGATCATATCTTGATACTGAAGGCCCAAAATTTGCCTGATTTTCTCCTTGATTGTTTCTGCAGAAGCATATGATCCTCTTGATCCAACTGGGAATATCACAATCAAATGGGACGTCATGCAGTGGACTTCAGATGGCTATGTTGTAAGTACACTGTTAATACTACTAAGACATGTTTTATATATACTAACAAGACCTTACATCTTAAATGACGAATTGTTTGAGAAAGATGAGATGGCAGGCTCAGAAATTGGTTCTTTCTGAATTCCAAGGAAAATTACCACATAAAGATCATGCATTTGAGTTCTGTCTGACATTCACTGTTTGCATCATATTAAATTGTAATCTTACCAAATGCCTGAAAGTGCTATAGTTTCATTCTGAAGACAGGCATGACCACATGACTGGTGTTTTGCACATAAATTTTTTTTGAACCATGTTTTGCACATCATCTTATTATAAGTTTAACACTATAAATGGGGAACATATATGCAAGCTCTCTTTTGTGTTGCTGATGTTATGTGAACTCTGTTCTGCAGGCTGTTGTTTCCATATACAACTACCATAAATACCGACATATCCAAGCACCCGGGTGGAACCTTGGATGGGTGTGGGCAAAGAAGGAGATCATTTGGACCATGGTTGGTGGGCAGACCACAGAGCAAGGGGATTGCTCTCAGTTCAAAGGCAATATACCACACTGCTGCAAGAGGGATCCAGCAGTTGTTGACTTGCTTCCTGGGACACCTTACAACATGCAGGTTGCAAATTGTTGCAAAGGAGGAGTGCTTAACTCATGGGTTCAAGATCCAGTCAGTGCAGTGGCATCATTTCAGATCAGTGTTGGCCGATCTGGTACTACCAACTACACAGTGAAAGCGCCACTAAACTTCACTCTGAAGGCCCCAGGACCAGGATACAGTTGTGGAGCAGCTCATGTGGTGAAACCTCCTACGAAGTTCATTTCTCAGGATGGAAGGAGAACCACTCAAGCTCATGGTAAGTTGTTCCAGCATTCTTCTTTAGGTGGAAAAACTTTATCTTGTCGTAACAAAAAATCTCTGGCTTATGGTTTTTGTCAGAGCTCTATTGTGTGCTAGGTAGCATATGTTCAGGTCATTGAATAGTGAACGCCTTTTTTATTTTTTTGCAGTGACATGGAACGTGACATGTACATATTCCCAATTTGTTGCTCAGCGGGCTCCAACTTGTTGTGTTTCACTCTCATCATTTTACAATGAAACCATAGTTAACTGCCCAAAATGTTCATGTGGCTGTCAGAATACCAGACCAGGAAGCTGTGTCGAGTAAGTACCATCCCTTCACAAAGTCTCTTAGACACCATATGTTTTGCACTTAACGTTTTCTTTGTTTGTATGTACTTACTATGTTTGTAGGGGTAATTCACCTTTTTTGGCTTCTGTCGTGAATGGACCAGGCAAGAGCAGCATGGCTCCTCTAGTTCAGTGCACGCCCCATATGTGCCCGATAAGAGTGCATTGGCATGTTAAGCTCAACTACAGGGAATACTGGAGGGTAAAGATCACGGTTACAAACTGGAATTACCGGATGAATTACTCACAGTGGAACTTGGTAGTTCAGCATCCAAATTTCGACAACGTTACTACTATTTTCAGCTTCAACTACAAGCCTCTGAACCCCTATGAAGTAATAAGTTAGTATTTGTTGCACCTCCTGAGTCCTGACCATGTTTATATATAATGCTTTAGCTAAATTTACCGATATTTTGCTGCAGATGATACTGGAATGCTGTGGGGTATCAAGTACTACAATGACCTGCTCATGGTGGCTGGGCCAGATGGAAATGTGCAATCTGAGCTTCTGTTCCGGAAGGACCCGTTGACATTCACATTCGAGAAAGGCTGGGCGTTCCCAAGGCGGATATACTTCAATGGTGACAGCTGCGTCATGCCTCCACCAGATGCGTACCCATGGCTACCTAATTCTTCCCCTGTACTCCTACTGAAGAGCTCATCCCTTGTTCTGCCCATCGCGATTTGGATGGCGATGCTGTTCTTACGGCTTCGTATGTAGTGGCTATCGACGGATTGGCTAATGTTTAGGCAACTGTTTATTGAAACTAGTGATTGTCACATTGGTCTGTTGACACATCAAGCATCCTGAATTTCTTGTAATCTAGTGCGTAAGGATGATTCTGGTGTGCCGATTCGGATGTGAAACTGTGATCCAGCAGGCTGGCTGTAGATTCATTCGCATTTTGTGTATTGTAGATCTGAAGATTGGTTAATGCAGACGTATCAGTTATCAGTATCCCCCAAGACAAATCTTGTGCGTGTTTGGTTCAGAAAAGCATGCTAATGTTCAGTATGTTGATTCATATATCATTCTTCTGGATTATGTGTACAGAACGAAAACACAGAAAACATGTGCTCTATATGTCTGGGTTTTTTTTGTGTGTGTGTGTGTGTGTGTTTTGCTAGCCTTCAGAGTGCTGAAGTCTTGGCAACCAAAATGCCCTGCAACTCCCAAGTCACATTACATACATGACAGTTTTCCTCTGATGAAGCAATGAAGCGAAACCCAAGTGTTGAAGTCTTGGCAACCAAAATGCCCTGCCTACTGTACTCTGCTCCCTGCCCACGGGACGAGAGAGGCGGAACAAGAACAAAGGAAGAAATGGAGGCCTTGCCCTTGGTGGGTCATGGATCATGGTCATGCCACCAGGAGCAGCGCCAGTAGGAACGCTGAGGCAGCAGCGGACACGATCAGCTGCGAGGCGGCGGCGGGCGCGGCGTTGGGCAGGTAGGGGTAGGAGTCCGGCGGCGGCATCTTGCACTCGTCGCCGTTGAAGTAGATCTTGCGCGGGAAGGCCCATCCCTGGCTGAAGGTGAAGGTCCTGGCGTCCTTGCGCATGAGCACCTCCGACTGCACGTTGCCGAACGGGCCGGCCTCCATGAGGAAGTCGTTGTAGAACTTGAGCCCGTAGAACATGCCAGTGTCATCTGCATGGATGCATGTATAATCAATCACATTGGGTAACTGGGTTTGGCACTTGCATGACATGATGATCAAGAAACATGCCCAACAGTCTGCTACTCACTGATGCTGCCGTATGGTAGCAGCGGCTTGTACTGGAAGCTGAAGACCTCAGTGACGTTGTCCAGGTTGGGGTGCTGCGCCACCAGCGTCCACTGCGTGTAGTTCATCCGGTAGTTGAAGTTGGTGATGGCGATCTTGGCGCGCCAGTAGTCCTTGTAGTTGAGCTTGACGTGCCAGTGCACCCGGATGGGGCACAAGTGCGGCGTGCACTGCAGCAGCGCCTGCCCGTCCTTGCGCGGCGTGTTCACCCCGGGCGACAGCGCGCGCTTGGAGTCCCCCTCGATGCACCCGCCGGCCGGCCCGGCGTGGCCGCCGTGGCCGCAGCCGCACGCGCACCGGGCGCACGGCACGATGGTGTCGTTGTAGAAGGAGGAGAAGGAGACGCAGCAGGACGGGTACTTGGACGCCAGCTGCTGCGAGTAGGTGCAGGTGACCGTCCACGTCATGAGCGCCTGCGTCCGGCGCCGGTGGTCGGGCGTCCAGTACACGGTGGACGGCACGATCGTCGCCGGCCCGCAGGTGTACCCTGGCCCGGGGCCCATGAGGGTGAAGTTCTTGGGCAGCTTCACCGTCTTGTTGGTGGTGCCGGCGAGGCCGACGGAGACCTGGAACGCGGAGACGGACCCGGCCTGGTCCTGCCCGTACGCCGACACCACCCCGGCCTTGCAGCAGTTGGCGATCTGCTGGTTGTAGGGCACCCCCGGGAGCAGGTCCACCACGGCGGGCGTCCGCTTGCAGCAGTGCGGGATGCCGCCCTTGAACTTGGAGCAGTCGCCCTGCTCCGTGGCCTGCGCGCCCACGATGGACCAGATCACCTCCTTCTTGGCCCACGACCACCCCACCGTCCACCCGGGCGCCATGATGTGCCGGTACATCTGGTAGTTGCTCATCGTCACCATCGCCACGTACCCGTCGGGCGTCCACGAGATCACGTCCCACTTGATGGTGATGTTGCCCCGAGGGTCCAGGGGATCGTAGCCCACCACTGCAAGTAGAGCAAGCCGTCAGCCAGCCATGGAGAGAGCCAGCGAGGAAGACGACGATCGACAATAGAGGTGAGCATCGATCGTCGTCGTCCATTTGCATTAATTAGAAGGAAAAAAAAAGGTTTCATTTTCAGACGAAGGAATGGCGCGACGACGAATTGAACCTGCGACGGAGCAGTAGGCGAGCGCGAGGGCCAGAGCCAGCAGCACGGAGGAATCGCGGAGCCCCATGGATCGATCCTTGACGAGCGAGCCGGCCGGCGGCCTCTGCAAGAGCGTAACACCACCACGGCTGCTGTGCTGCTAGCTGGTAGCACACGCTCCGATCCTGGAGGAAGAAGCTAGCGGCAGGGCGAATAAAAGGCCCTGCTGCCGCAGCGACCAAAGAAGGTGAAGAGAGATGGCCATCGAGATGGCACGTCACACCGGCCGGGCGGCTCGATCAGCTGGCCGACGCCGGTTGGTTGAGTTGCGTAACGAGGACTCGAACTACTTACTACTCGATTTGAAAATGAAAAGAAAGAAATCGCGTGCGTCACGGAGGTGATGGCGCCGCTCCACCTCCCTCTGAATCTGATCGATCGCTTGCTATTGCTATTCGCCGGTGGTGTGGTGTGTGCTCTCTGAATGAATGAATAATGCCTGCTCATCCCATGGCGGGCGCAGATCCTTGTCCCGCATTGCTCCGCCCCTGAAGCAACCGTGGTTGGTGACGGAGGGAGGGAAGGTGGAAAGCGACGCGGAGGATCTCTTACCATCTTGGTGTGGTGGTGGTACGATCCGTGTCCGTGATGGCGACGGACGAGCACGACGTCACTCGCCATGTTTAAATGAGTGAGGTGAGAAGATGCTGTTGCGCTAGTTGCGACGTTTGATCACACGCACAGCTGGGAAGATGCGTGCATAAGCTATCTCCTGCTTGTTCATCCTTTCTCACGTTTCTCAATCATTCCGTGTTTGGAGACTATCCTCCGTACCGTATGTATGTAGATGTACGTATACGTAGAAGGATTTCATTTTATATATCCACGAACGTACAGGGTCGTGCAATGTATTTATGTTTGTATATGTTCGTTTTTGCTGGGCCGTCGTCCAAACCTTTCTGAAGTCAACAGAGAGCAACCAATGTATAGAGCCCGACATTTCAATGCCGAGCGAACTGCTGCTTTCAGTTCCCTCTCTGCGATGCGCGATCCTCCCAATGATCCAGAGCATCTCCAAGAGTTCTCTAAACATCCTCCTAATCCTTTTTTTTAGAAAGATGAGGAAAAAAATTCTCTCCAACAACTCCTAATATTTACTCCTATTTTTAGGAAAAATTCCTCCCCTTCCGCGTAACTTTACGCGAACGAAGCCACGCGCGTAAGCCTCCTCCTCGTCGTACCCACCCTCTCCAAGCCTGGCGTCGACGAGCCCCGCCACCCCGCGTGCCCTGACTCATGGCAGGATCCGCGCCGTCAGGTTCTCGATCTCCGTGTGGTTGTGTTGCCTTGCATCGGATATGTAGCGGCGTCGCGATGTTTGTGTTTGCTGGATGCTGATTGGTCTTTTCGCTTGCGTCGCAGCTGGAGAGCCGGCGGGAGCGCTACTTCGGCCAGCTGGGGCGCGTGGTGTCGTCGTTCGAGACGGCGCGGCGGCGGCGTACACGTCCCTGATGGCGCGGGCCATGGCGCGCCACTTCGGCAACCTGCGCCGCGCCATACTGTGCAGACTCAGGATCCACGCCGCCGCCGCGGCGAGGAGGTCTCTGCGGCGTGGCATCGAGGAGGACGACGAGGAGGTGACCGAGGTACTCCAGCACCAGCGCACCCTCTTATTTTTAGGAACTATCGGAGATGAACTTCTTTTTTTCTCCTAAAATCTTTTTAGGAATTGGTAAACATAGACTTTTTAGGAGGAATATTTAGAAAACTCTTGGAGATGCTAAAATTTACATACTTACTGACCGCTCGTGCTAAAATTTAATATATAGGCGAGCAAGAGAAAAGGTTGTTAGCTCAGTTCATTTCGAACAACCGACACTTTTATAAGATATTCACAAAAGAATAAGTAAAGGCACACATAATAAAATATCGGGAATGCTTATTCCCGAGCGCACAAGATCCGCTCGCTCGGCATGCACATGCACACCGCATCCGCCGATGCGCGCTGCTGCTCTCCTCGGCTATTCGATTCGCCTGGCCCGTGCCCACGTCCGCGCCTGCGCCGCCGGAGACGGAGAAGATACTGCCCCACTCCGACGACCGCATCACCGCCGCCCCCAACCCTAACTTTGGCAACCTTAGAAGGAAGGGATTCAGGGCAAGGAGGCCAGACAGACGGCGGTTTAGGGGCCCTGGCAGCGGCGTAGGCGGCCAGGCCAGGTCGGGGTGGGGGCCCAATGGCCGGAGTTCACTGGAGGTCGCCATGGCAGATGCAAGAGGGGGGAGGGGGAAAATGAGGTTGCCACGGCCACGGAGCTCTCGTGACCGTGGAGCTCGGGCGAGACCCTACCGCCCGCCGCGGGGCGGTGGGAGGTGGTGGAGGCGGGGGCACTCGTGCTAGATCTAGAGCCGGGGCGCTCGTGCGGCTGGCGGCGAGACAGCCGCGGTGAGGTGCGGCGGGGAAGGAGGTGCCTGGAAAGGAGAAGAAGGCGGGGTCAGAGAAGAAGAAGAATAGTAGGCGGGACGGGGAGAAGGCGTGTGGGCGGAATTTTATCCGCTTGCGCCTGCGGCTTTTATTAAGGCCCGTGTAGTTCTGTCAAATTTCCATTTAAGTTCTAGTGGTCTGGAGCATCAGTATAAGAGGCGTGTACGTTACCACTGAAGAGTTTTCGTTTACAACAGTGGCCTACATGTCTGAATAGTATTTTTAATGGAGTGACCAACAGTCTTGGTTTTGGGACGAGAAGGAACGGGGCAAATTTATTCTACATCTTTAGGACATGATGGTTTTATTTCCATGTTTGGTTGAGAGAACGGAGACATTCATGTTATGTATTTGGTTGGAGGGATACAGACTGGGAGGATACATGAACGTTTGAGATGCGTTAGACATTCATCAAGTGGAACATGTATGTCATCCCGTCTCACCTTCTTCCACGCAGCCAGCTCCATCCGCCACAAACATGCTCCCCATCCTCCTCTTCCCCCTAGCCCTCTGCCCCCGTCTGCGCGTGCTCAGGGGGTGTTTGATCACCCGGACTAAACTTTAGTCCATGTGCACGTCACATAGACACCAATTAAAAGTTTTAAATATAAACTAATTATAAAACTAATTGCATAAAAGGAGGCTAATTCGTGAGACGAATTCATTAAGCCTAATTTGTCCAAAGATTTACCCCATGTGATTCTATTAGTAAATATTTGACAATCATAGATTAATTAGGTTTAATAAATTCGTCTTGCAAATTAGCCACCGCTGATGCAATTAGTTTTATAATTAGCTCATATTTAGTCCTCCTAATTGGCCGCTAAATATGGACTAAAGTTTAGGCCGAAGAATGCAAACACGCCCTTAGTCACTTAATCCCAAACCCAGCCACACCTAACGCCCCCTTCCTCCCTGCCACAGTCGCCACCAACATTGCATGCCCTACACGCGAAGTCCGAGGTTGTCGCTTACCTGAGCATTGGAGAGGTGTAAGCGCGCTCGCACGAGGGCAAAGCTTGTGCCGAGGATCCACCGACACCGACCACTCTTGAGGAAGAAGACAAAGACATGAAAAAGATGCACGGACGAAAAATACAGCATCGGGAGGGGACAAGTGCGTACCTTTGATTTGTGGGGATGTAGCTGTCCCTGATGTTAGGGATGATTCCATCCTCTAAGTTCTGAAACAAACACACTAAGAAAATATTGAGGATGATGATTCCGTCTTCTATGTGTGTTTAGTTCAGAGTCATGGTGGGATGGGACGGACCCACCTAGTTTTTAGGAGAAAACTGATCTAGTTTTATGTTTGGTTGATGGGATAGGACCCCTGTTTCCTGTTTGGTTTGGGAACAAAAGGGTTTGAGATGGTAAATAAGACATTCGGGATCTACCAATGAGCCTCTTTTCTGGGATTGCAATGGTTCATGGGACTCACTCGTCTCACCTCACCTTATTTCTGGTGGATGAGAGGATGCCAATTTAAGAGCATATTCATGAAATATTCCCTATTAGAGGGATATCTACAATCATAATTGACTCTGAATAAACACCTCTGGAACGAGGACCACCCCATCCATTTCTCATAGTTCCGTGAACCAAACACACTGTACGTTCTCAAACTAAACACATATTAAAAAATATTGAGATACCTCTTTCATCCGGTCCCGAAAACTCTTCTTAGGCTATGTCATTCAAACTCAAGTACTGGGGGCTTCGTCTATCATTCAAAGCTTTTGATTATCCATAAACTGTTTGTCACATGGAAAACTGTCGGCGATGATGCAAACGGACGCTAGGACGGCTGGTTTAGCGCTCTCAGGAGCACCCTCGCGGTGCGGGTTTGAGCCCCAGGTGTGGCGCACCCGCGCGTTGTTTTCGGGGATTTCCTCCGAGCGAGGTAAAAAAACTCTCTCGTCTGCCCCACGTCCAAAGCACAGGTATGTGGCTAGCTCATCTCACGAAGCTGCGGTGCCGCTGTATATGGGTGGGGTAGGGGTTCGGAGGGTTTCTCGATCAGTGTGAAAATGTCTTCTTCTTAAACCAGAATACCCAGGGGCTGTCTAGCCACCGTGGATCGAGTTTTTTTTAACTGTCAGCGACGATCGACGGTAAACAATATTCGACCGTACTACTCATCATCGTCAATCTGCCATTCGATTTTATCTTGCTATTCCCTTTAAATTATTATTCTCTCTGTTCTAAATTAAATTAAATTCATATTAAATCAAATTATTTTAAGTCCGATCAAATTTATAAAAAAACACACACCTATACTAAATGACATTAAGTTAGTGTTGCTAGATATTTCATGAACTATATTTTCATAATATATTTATCTGGTATCATAAATATTGTTATCCTTTTCTATAAAGTTTGTACATACTAGTTTGATTTAGGATGATTATAGAAATTAATTTGTATTGGGATAAAGGAAGTATATTATTAGGCCATAATTTTGGTTTGGCCCCTTTTACCTCCTCTGCTATAGCTTACAGAAACGGCCACCGATCGATACACCATAGTACGCACGAGCTCTTGGCATATTTTGTCAACAGACACGGTCGGGGCCTCGCTTTCAGAGGGAACAAGGCTGCTTG